CAACTGCTCTTACGTAGTCCTAAATGTGTCTATCATGCAATAACTACTTCGTTGATGATGATCTTCTTGACTCCTTCGTACGAGCAACACCAACGTCTTCCCGGGTAGTTGGAAAAATAAAAATTACATAACGATAGAAAACTCTTCGCCTGGGAGTCGAACCCAGCTTTCGCGCGCACGAATCGTAATGACAGGCGCGTGTACTAACCGATATACTAGCGAAGATTACGAAAAGGGATATTAAAGCTTTGTCATGTACAGAAGAATAACTTATGTAAGAAAGAAATGCCGAAACGCGAACTCCCACGGCCAGCTGCATCATCGCTTCAAAACTTTTGACGTCGTCTCCCATTCCCCTCCGTCCACAAAAAAAGACTCGAAATGTCCACCTCTACCCAGGAACCGCCCACGGCGCTCATTGACCGCGCGCAAACTTTCCTCTCCGAGAACAAACGTGTCGTTCTGTTGGGTGCAGCAGCGGCGCTCGCAGTTGGCATTGGCGGTGCATACTATGCGTATTCTTCCAGCTCACGGACGCGGACGTCTGATGTAGAGAAGGGTACTGGAACTGGTGGCTCGAAGAAGAAGAAGAGCAGCAAGAGTAAGAAGAAGAAGACTGCGAAGGACGGCCCTATACTGGAGGAAATTGTTCCTCCACTTCCGAAGGTCGAGGAAGAACCTACCTTGTGTGCGTGCTGCAGGATACTCTTTCTTTCTTTGTGCTGAAATATGTATTTTAGTTGACAGGCAGCTGTCGGAGGAGGAGATCAAGTCGATGCCAGTCGAGGTTGGTCTTTTTGCCTCTTATTTCATTTAGAATGTTTGACCCGACTCCTTTTCCTTAGGATAGAACAAAACTTGCATCGCAGCTAAAAGAAAAAGGCAACGCAGCTTACAAGAACACCAAATTCAACGAAGCTGCCGTATACTACACCCGTGCAATCGAGGTGACGCCAAAACCTGAACCTGTGTTTTACAGCAATCGTGCGGCATGTGGGTGTCATTTCATTCTCCTGGAGGTATTAAGCTCAATTCTATATCTTTCTACCATGTGTTTAGGCTACGTCAACATGTCGCCACCAAACTACACAGCAGTCGTGGATGACTGCGACGAGGCCTTGAAGCTCGACAGCCAATATGTCAAGGCCCTCAACCGCCGTGCAGTCGCGTTCGAGGGACTGCATCGATACGAGGAAGCTTTACGCGGTAAGCTTTATCTTTCGTTCCTCCTCTTTTCTTTTCTTTTTTTCATTCTTGCTCTCCAGACTACACAGCTGCCACCATCCTGGATAGATTCACCAACCAAAGTACAGCCAAATCCGTAGAACGTGTTGTGGGCATTTATGCTAGCCAAAAAGCCGCAGAGGAGATGGCCAACCGCCAACCTCGTCTTCCTTCGTTTGCCTTGATCACTGCTTACTTTGCTGCGTTCCGAAGCCGTGCGTTATCCCAGTTACAGCTTAAACTGAGACTGACGCGAGTTTCTATAGGACCTCACCCCACTTTCCCCGAGGAACCATCAACCGGCGACAATACTCTACTCCTAGCATTGCAGGCCCTGGACGCGACCGATTATGTACACGCTGCCTCGCTCATAAACGAGGCAATCGACCAAGGTATCTCGTGGGACCAAGGGCGCGCCGAAGCTCTTAACCTTCGAGGAACATTCAAGTAAGACCTAACTCTCGCCAAAACTATGCATCTCAATCAACCATCTTCTTTAGGTTCCTAATGAATGAAAGCGTAGGCGCAAAGGAAGATCTACTAGCTTCGCTGGAGCTAGTACCCGGCTTCACACAAAGCCTCGTAAAGCTTGCGAGTGCGCATATGGAGCAGGGTGATGCACCCTCTGCGTTCAAGTGCTTCGAAGACGCGATTAAATTTAATCCAAATGATCCGGATATTTACTACCACCGTGGTCAAGGTGAGAATCTTAGTAAAACGAAATGGGAAGACTCACAAACGCATCATCATCAAAAGTCTATTTCATAATGAACGAATTCTCCAAAGCAGCTGAGGAATATATCAAATCCACCGAGTTAGACGATACTTTCGTCTTCTCACACATTCAGCTTGCGGTTGCCCAGTACAAATCTGGAGAAACCGGCAAAAGCCAAGTGACATTCCGCAAGACCCTCCAGGCATTCCCTTCACGGAGCGAGCCACCAAATTACTAGTGCGTGCCCCATCCCATCCCTTTCTTTTCATCTTTTATTCATTATTCTGACAGTGGCGAGCTGCTCCTCGACCAAGGTCGCTTCCCCGAGGCCATTGAGAAATTCGAACGTGCCTGGGAGCTCGAGCAAGCGAGACATTCATCCAGCACCACCTCCTCCCCACCTAACGTCCTCCCACTCGTCAACAAAGGTCTTGCTCTCTTCCAATTCAAACAGGACGCCGGCGCCGCTGAGCGATATTGCTCCGAGGCTCTGAGACTTGACAGCGATTGCGAAGCTGCGGTGGCTACTATGGCGCAGTTGTATTTGCATGCGGGACCTGGAGGTTCTGATGGGGAGAAGAGGATTGAGAAAGCTATGACGCTTTTTAAGAAACAGGCGGAGATGGCGAGGAGTGAAGTGGAGTTGCAGTCTGCGTTGGCTTGTCAGTTTGC